TATCATGAGGAAAGAAGTATGTGTTGGCATAGCAACCACTGTATGGATTGCTGGAATGATAGACTCTGCTATACATGCTGGACTTATGCTGCCCCTTTCTTTTTGTGATTCCAATGTCATCAACCATTTCTACTGTGATATACCTCCAGTGTTATATCTTGCATGTTCAGACACCTTTATAAATGAGTTTATGACCATGATTGCAAATGTAGTGTTTGGGATTTGTAGTTGTGGGTTAACTCTAACATCCTATTTTTTTATACTGAGGACCATCTTCAGGATCCGTTCCACTGAAGGAAAGAAGAAAGCATTCTCCACATGTTCCTCACACCTCTTTGTAATCAGTTTTTACTTTTCTGCACTTATCTATACATACATCAGACCCTCTTCGGTCTATTCCCTAGACAAGGACAAGCTTGTGTCTCTCATTTATTCAGTGGTAACTCCAGTTGTTAATCCACTCATATACTCTCTGAGAAATAAAGATTTTAAAGAAGGAATGAAAATGCTCATTGGAAATCTCAGGTTGCTTCCAAGATCTTGAGGTTCATCAACAAAAGGCTGCTACAATGTTGATGTGCAGAAAACCATGTTACTTTATAAGTTACTATTGTGTTTAAGAATATTTTATGCAATATAAAATGCATGCATCCACAGCCATAGCCATACAAACCTGGATTTATTAATACATTTTTTGAAGAAAATAATACCATTTAATGCAAATAGGTCTTGTTCTTAATTTTTGCTATACACTTGGATGTACTTATCCAAAATAATTATCTAATTATCATATTCTACTTTTGAGATATTTATTTACCATTTTTTAAAATGTAACATTGTACATAATAGGGAGGGATATGTAAAAAATAAGTTTCCTGTATGTGTCTTGAATTAGTTCAGCATCATATGAATTTAATTAAGAACTACCTATTACCTGCTAAGATGGGTTTGGAAACTGTACTGATGTACATACTTAGACTGTAATGGAATTTCTGAGATTATATTCTGAAAAAAAAAGGTTATTCAGGCAAGACATGTACATAACATGGGGAAATTTGTCCAACAAAGAAATAAAAAACACTAAGAAATAAAGAGGTACTTCCTTTCACAATATATAAATCACAATGAAAACATTAAACATTGGAAAAAAAATGATGAAAACAGGTTTCTGCTAAATTGGTAAACTGCACCACCGGATGCTAATAGCAAATAAGCAATGAGGAGAAAGTTCTGGAGAATTCACAAATGTTTCTGCAAACCGAGAGATGAGTTGGGGTGGGGGTGATATAGGAGGGACATCCATTTTCATAGGGTTGGTGTAGCAGGGAAGCCACCCCTGAGCAGCAAGGTGCTGGTCTTACCATCAAAGTGTAAGGAAAGAAGGGATTAAACAGAGGAGGGTGTTCGAAGTAGGGTCCTCTTGAATGGAGTTGTCTCCCAGGTGCTGATCTACCCATGGGATGGAAAACAAGAGAAGAGGGGGGCATCTGTGCAGAGGATCACTTTATGGAAGGCCAGCCCACCAAACATGAGGAAAACATGAAAGGGGCACCACAATGGGCAATGGAGAAGGACATGTTCCAAAGACCCCTCTCTGGCAGGGAGAAAATCCAGTATTCCCTGGCACTGGTCTACCAGGGAAGGGAAGGGAAGGGAAGGGAAGGGAAGGGAAGGGAAGGGTCAGT